GGTAATATCAGTATATGTTAATTAGCTAATTTGCATAATTAATTAATTTTCAGCTTTTGATATTTCAAGTAGTAATCATCACATTTCAATGACACTTGGTACATGGATGTCATAGGACACTGCACATACCTGATAGTTTTTAGGGTAATATGAGAACATATTAATTACCTAATTTGCATAATTAATTAATTTTCAGCTTTTGATATTTCAAGTAGTAATCACATTTCAATGAAATTTGGTACATGGATGTCATAGGACACTGCACATACCTGATAGTTTTTAGGGTAATGTGAGTACATATTAATTACCTAATTTGCATAATTAATTAATTTTCAGCTTTTGATATATCAAGTAATAATCATATTTCAATGAGACTTGCTACATAGATCTTCTAGGATTATGCAGACACCTGATTAGTTTTAATTGGATATTAATTACCTAATTTGCATAATGTTCCACTGATATATAAAGAACCACAAATTGGATTTTAATGAAACTTTTAAAGAGAACTATGCAGAAACCCAATTAGTTTTTGGTAAATATTTATGCTTATTAATCACCTAATTAACATAATTAATTAACACTGATATCTCAATTACTGATCATCACATTTGAATAAAATTTGGTACATAAATGCTCTAGGACAATAGTCAGGCCTGATTAATTTTGATAAATATTTATTCTCTAATTAGCATAATAATTCATAATTTTTTTGTTCTGTTCTGTTCATATTAGTTACCTGATTTACATAATTAGTTTTCAGCTTTTCCATCAATATCTCATGTACAAGTAATTTTGAATTAATTTTGAATATGTCTTCAATACTCTCAGCACACGGGAGTTCTTTCTAAGCTTTCTTTGATTATAAATTGTAACTTGTTCCCTCTGTCAATCGGGTGGGAGAATAACCTCAAATGATTTACTGAATATAAAGAAAAGAGATTGTACTAGAACAGTACACTCAGTTCTCTCTTGGATGCATATTTTCAGGGCCTGGAAATATGTATGTATATTGAGTTTGATTACTGGTAGCTTCATTTTAATGGACTCCACATTCGAGTACATATTGTTCAAAAGACTTAAAGATCTTTGATACAGGGATGGTGGGTAATGACTTGTGAACACTGAACTAAAGTAGTCATTCATCATGCTAGCATTTTTAATGTCATTTGGTGCAATTGAGAGAGTAGCTTCAAGAGAGATAATTGCCTTATAATTGTTTTATTTTTGGCAATGTCTTCTTTAAAGAAATCTTTATTATACTTATAGTAGCACAGTCATATTGCCTGTAACTCTATGATTGTACATGATAAACTTAATTCTGAGTACTGCGATAGGCTTTGAATGTAAATCTGTAATAATCCTGACATAGCCAGTGATGTTCTATGTTTGTCACAAGAATTTAACAATTTTCTTTTCTTCATAAATGCTAACTTGTTTTATAATTTCTTCCTCTAGCCAAAAATTACAATGAAGAAGCATGTAAAGACTTCATAGATCAGCTGATGAAGTGCTGTCAGCGGCATGCAAATGAGCAGTCTGTGTGTTGTTCCGGGTTTTTAAAAGCAGATCCAAAGTTTATATCAAAACATTCGTGATGACATGGGAAACTTTCCTACTAAG